GTAGAAAGTAATATTAAATAAATCCTAACAACAGTCAAGCTTAAACGTGCTGCTGTTGTTCAGCCGCTGGTTTCCTCTTTCTGGTGCAAAAACAAAGAAGAGAGACGATCAGCTGATCATTGATCAGTTTCATGATTGAAGTAGCATGCTGTATGTTTGCTTTACAAACATTCAGAGATGAACTTACACGCTTGCTTTCTTCTCTCTGGGATCACTTCCTCAGAGATGAAATGCCGGTTTGGTAATGAGGCTACCAATGGTCAACCAGAGCGCCGAGAGGTCCCGCATGCCACAGCCGCTCTATCACGTGAGCACACTGCTCCGACGTGCTGCGGTTATGAGCAGAGTTACGCCGTGTCGCAGGTTTTGTGAGGTGCTTGTGTGATATTTAATGGATCGGATTACATCTTTTATTTCTCTCTGATATCCGATCCAGTAATTTAGGTCAGTATCGGACCGATACGTAATATCGGATCGGTCCATCTCTAGTATGAACAAAGATATTAATGAAGTACTTCTACTTGAAAGTGTTTGGGACTGACCTCCAGGCAGCAGGGGGACCAGCTGACCGTTGACCCTGAAGCTTAGAGAAGCACCTGCAGACTGAACACATCACATGTTTGAAATGTTGCAGATGATCTATAATCAACAACCAGCAGTCGATCTATAATCAAAAATCAACCAGTACCTCCATTGCGCTGCTGTCTGTGAGGGGCCCGCAGCTGTTCTCTGCATTAGGCTGGACTGGGAGAGGGATGATATGGACTGGTGGGGGGTCAGCGTCCTCCTGCACACCTGAACACGACACACACACTTAATCAGCTGACTGTCTGATCACAACAATCAGCCAATTTGAATTTAAGAGGAAACTCTACGGTCACTTTGCTTTTATCAGGTGCTGAACTTTATCCAAATGCTAACAGCTTCCTACTGAAATCCTATAGACTCAATCGTATTTGGTCTATTTGATCTGAAGGCCTTACTGATGTTAAATTCCAAAGCTTTTGGCTTTTGGGTGAAGGCCGCGTCCGTGGTGCCACGTTAGTGGACTAATTATCACAATTGGTGCGAGACTTACTCGTCATTTAAAGGGGACATGAGACGCTACATATATAAAGACTAATTTACGTCATGGAATAAAATGTCATCATTGCTGGTCCTTCGGACCTCTGCAGAAAGAGTAGGAGGGTGTAAAGTTTTTAAGCAGCCTCTAAAATCTTTGCGCTTCCCTGATGAGCATCATTAATAAATACAGATTCTTAGACACGGCCGTTAGTTAAGTGAATCGAGATAATGGAAGGATAACCTGCATATGCTGAATTCATTTCATTGTAAAGAATTGTTTGTTTGGGGGTTTTTTTTAACCTTCATCATCCTTTTCTTGCAGGACCTCTTCCTCCTCTTCATTACATTTCATCTCCTGGTCAGCTGTGCCTCCTGCTGGCCTCTCCACCTCTGTCGTCATCTCCTTGCCTGCTGGAAGGACACACCTGTGAGACAAACCTGCACAAAAACTAGAGGCTCCAGCTAGCAGCTAGAACCACCTCCGTCAGTGTGCACCCATCGGCCAAACATGCCTCTAAAAAATGCAAATCTTAAGCATTAATCCAATTTGAACAGGTGAGTTATAAAAACATTCACCAGGTACAGTTGTTCTGAACAGGGAAATTATCTACAGAGACCTCCTTTTTAATACAGTCTAATAAATCAACTCTGCAATTCAAACAGGACATCAGTCAAAATAAGCTTTATAAAAGCATTTCACAGGGGTCCCTAACAAAGAGCATGTGGCTAATTATACCAATGTTATTTTTGAACACAAAAGGAAATCTCAAACTAAAATTATTTCCTTCTGGCTTAAATCTTCGAAAACAAATTTTAAAAACCTAATTCAAAGCTCAACGAGTTTAGTGTTGCAGCTCTACACAGATCTGAACCTTTTTCATTCATAAATATGTCAGCTGCTCTGTATGAGCATTCTGCTAGTGGCCATCTCAAAGTTAGCAGTGCCAACTTCATCAATAAGGAGCTCGTATTAATATTTTATTTTCAACAACAAAGAAATTTCATTAGTAGCTGATAAAGGGAGTAGCTCAAAGTTGTTATAGGTGACCTTAAACTCTATTAGAAGTAACAGAGCTTAAAAAACATTAATACATTTAGTTCATGAGCAAGTTTCAAAACTCAATTAAAACACATTCAGTAACCACAGCTGCAGCTTAGCATGCTAAAGATCAACGACGTGTCACTTACTGATTTCTAACTACTAAAAGTTGAGTGATAAAAACAAATCTATACACCATTATCTTTCCCTACAGTCTCTCCACACTGTAGCTTAGCATTGAGCTAACTATGGTAACTAGCCGAGCTGCTAACTCAGAGACTTCAATAACTCTGGATGACATCCATTGAAAAAGTATACCAACCAGACGCTTACCTTATCCGGACATTTAATGTGCAAAACAATTATATATTCCGTTAAAATTCCGCCTGTGAACAGTGTGCTTTTCCTTTAGGAATAAAATGAATAATGTGTGGTCTTCACACACACGTTGGAGATGTCGTTTGCTCCTGCTAGCACAACCGTATCCCTCCGCCAACAACCTCCCGTTTGCGCTGCTGTTACGGGACTACATTCAGACGGAGCGGAGTGATACCTCTCCGTGGGGCTCACAGCAGCTGTTTTGATATGTGGCTTATTAAATGTTTTCTTCCTCGTAACCGGATGTTTTTGCTTATCGACGATAAATACGCTCAGTTTAAGCACCACACTCTGCCAGTTTAAGTAGAGTTCAGCGCTATGTCGGCACGCTAACAGTTGTGGCATGCTTCTTATCTTTGGCATGCTAATGCTAAGCTAATTATTAGCAACACAGAATTAATCAGTTTGGGACTGTTTTTATTTACAGAGTCTATAAACTCTGATTAAAGACGTGAACGGCGACCATCAAAGGCTCTAATGTAACAGCTCCGGAATCTACCTACCTAAACTTTCCAGCCCAAAGTGTTAGGATGGTGTGGCGATTTTTAACACAACAACCAACAAAATGTAAAAAGAAATCAGTAAATATATTTACATATATATTTACATGCAAATAATATACATGTTAACGAAGACTAGTATTTGTTGTTGTTGTTTTTGGTATAAATAAAGCATTTCACGAGTGGAATTGTGTAATTTACGTTTTTCCATTTTAAAATTCTGACTGAAGGATGTTATTCTACGTCAGCCTAAAAGGCAATATCAACGTGCATTATTATTATTATTACTATTGTTATTATTATTATTATTATTACCAGTTTAGAAAAATCTCTCAGAACCCGATGACGCAAGCAGAGTGCGTGCGGCACGTGACGTCAGGGACCCGGAAGGAAGTTTGCTCCAGTGTTGTTATAGCAGCTCCGCAGGTAAAGAGACGAAAAAACCCTCTCTGCAGCCGCTGCTCTTTGTTTATTTGCTTTTGTTTGTGGTCTCTGAGTGTCGCCATCATGAATGTGACGCTCGCGGTGAAGCAGTACATCTCCAAGATGATCGAGATCAGCGGGCCCGGGATGAAGGTGCTGCTCATGGACAAGGAGACGGTGAGGACCGACCCAGGACTGTTAGCGGTGCTGGTGCTCAGCAGTGTTTACAGCAACGTTACTGTGTCTGATGGTGTCTGTGTGTGTGTGTGTGTGTTCAGACCAGTATAGTGAGCGTGGTGTACACTCAGTCTGAGATCCTGCAGAAGGAGGTTTACCTGTTTGAGCGGATTGACTCTCAGAACAGGGATAACATGAAGCACCTTAAAGCCATCTGCTTCTTGCGGCCCACCAAGGTACAAACCGCCCTCTGAGTAACTCTGTGTGTGTCTGTGTGTGAGGTAACACCATCTGCAACTGTGTGTTTGTGTGCTTGCTGCAGGAGAATGTGGAGCACCTGATCCAGGAGCTGAGGAGGCCCAAGTACAGCGTCTACTTCATCTGTAAGTTTCCACAGTGACAGTTAGGGCTGGAGTGAGAGGAGAACAGGGTTGCTGGTTTGACACTCGTCGTCCTCGGACAGTTCAAACATAGTTCGGAAGCTAAGATACACAACTGAGTTTAGCTTTGCTGCAGAATCCTAGAGATCAGCGATCTTATCAGAAAATTCGTTATACACATTGAAGAGGGGCTGCTAAAAGCGAATCCTGCTGCTTTTAATGACGCCAGTCTGATTAAACAGGGTGACACTGTCATCAAATGTGAGGTATCTTCCACTTACAGCTGTGGACTTGTCAGCTGAACAGATATCAGAGATTTCTTCTCTGGAGTTTGGTTTGGGGCAGAAGTTTGTTTGTACCTGAAGTCCATCAACTGACTGCTCTGTGTGTGTGTGTGTGT